TCTTTTCTGCGAGGCATGGTTCACATCAGACAGTGCTTCTTGAAACCATAAACCCAAAACAAGTGTATGTTTTTTTAAGGGCAGGACAGCTGTCAGCAACACATCCAATATCATCACACTGATTGAAGTCAAGGTTGGCTCACTCCTGGCTCCAATTAGCTCTGGGAGAAGTCATTAAGCTAGGGCCTCACATACTTTTTCCTCCCTGCACTGTGAATGTTTACATGTTATGTGCAATTAAACCATGGCAACATCTAATGTTTGTGTAGTATTATGTTCAGCAGACTGTGTTCTTCTATTGTTGTGACTTAGATGACGTTCAGAGCACATTTTATGCCCAATTCATGCAAAACTCCACGTAATCCCAAGGGGTTCACATACTTTTTCTTGCAACTGTATGCTAGCATCTATTCCAGCTGAATGAAGACTAGGAGGATCGCCCTTGGGACCAAGATATGGCCTCGTCACCCACTTATGATCTAGTGCAAGGGATCAAAAGAGAGCACCTTACCAAGCCTATACCTGGACAAGCAATTACTCTAGAAAAATAAAAAGTAATGCAAAATTGAATCATTCTTTCATAGGAATGACGGAAATACAGGTGACGTTTTCAGATTACGCCAGTGGCTAGAACAGTAGGTCAGATGGGCCTGTAGGTAGGCATGTTCTCTGATGATGAAGTAAGGAATTTAAACTCAGCATCCCTGTGTTGGATAAATCTAGACCCAGGCAGCAACAAATAACAAGAAGTAGGAAGAAAGTGTGTCCTGTTTGTGGAGGGATGATCAAAGATAAGATTTTCTCAGACACAGAGAAGAATTCAGCTTACTCTTCTAAACATTCATGGTAGCTGGATGGAGAGATGCTGGGACTTCCCAGGTCAGATGCCCGGTGATGAGGGCAATCTGGAGTGGAGGCAGGTTGAGAATGGCATCTTCATTTACGGTGGCGCTGTGCTCTCGGGGTGTTACTGTTGGTGACCACCAGCCAGGGAACCCAGGGGGAGTAGCAGGTGCTGTACCATTCTGGGAGATCCACAAAAGGAGGCTGAACGACCCCGAGATGTAACCAGTAGACAAAAGGGAAAGTGCCATCTGTAAGTGATTCTGTGGGTGCGTTAAAGCTCTAACAAAGGATGCAGGGCACGTAAGTCCTAAAACAGTTTTATTTCCATGCCATTGAAAAGTATTTGGCCTTTTCCCTCTTGGACCCTAATATTGTGGCGTCGCCCCCCGATGTTCTACATCTTTGAGATGTCTATGCATCTCAATCAGGTGTGCCACGTGGGAGTCAGAGGTGCGCTGCAGTTGTTTAAGGGCTGCGCTGTGCAGTATGGTAGCGTTCTCATTTTCTCCCAGCCTTGCTGCCACAACCTGAATGTCGGTACAGAGCTTTGCAATGGCTGTAGACAGAGTAGATTTTATGTCTGCAGCTACTGTTTGCAAATCTGAAAGGCTGGGAGGAAGGAAGGAGGATCCCCCTGCTCACTCACTTACCCCTGCCGCTGGCTCGGTTCACTGCTCGGGAGCATGTTGCAGAGGAGACTGAGACCACATGGCAGTGCGAGTGCTTAGTCTGGAACAGGGCTGGAAGATTGCTGTTCAGCTGGGTACCTGTCTCTCTTAGTGCCCGGGCTCACAGAGGCCCTCTGACCTATCTTCACCATGTCAGCCAGTGTGCAGGGATCCTGGGGAAGCTGAAGAGAGAGCCTCAGTAAGCAGGAGCTCCTGATCTAAGCAGCCATCTCAGACTGGAGCTAAGCCATGCCCCCCGTTTACAAATACTTTTATTTATTAACTTGATATTTTAGCAAGATTAGAACAGTGTCAGTATGGTGACACTGAAATAGTCTGATGACAATATTTAAGAAAAAAAGAAAAAAAAAAAAAACTTTAAAAAGAGAAAAAAATGAATAATAAAAAAATCATTTTTCTTTTACATACTGTCACCAGATACTTGTCACCAGATAGTATCCCTGATTATCATCACACCAGTCATATCATGATGGCGTACTGCACTGGTGACAGTATGTAAAAATAAATTGGAAAAATAAGCAACCTTTATTCAATTTCTTCATTTTCCAAAAAAGTGACTTTTCAAAAGGGGGTAATTGGGGGGGGGGGGGGATTTGTACTGTCCTGGCATTTTAGGGTCTCAAGAAAATAGATTAGGCAGTCAGTACATCAAGATTGATCAATTTTATATATATATATGTATAATTTTCACACAGTCCAAATAATACTGTATATACTGGTTTGGATTATTTTTACCAAAGAAATGTAGCAGACTACATTTTGGCCTACATTTTTTTTTCATTTATACAGCAAAAAATAAAAAGCCAAGTGGTGATTAAAAACCACAAAATGAAAGCCCCATTGGTGTGAAAAAAGGTATAAATGTAATTTGTGTACAGTGTTACATGACCGAGCAATTGCCAGTTAAATTAGCACAGTGCTGAATAGCAAAAAAATGCCCTGGTCATGAAAGGGGTAAAACCTTTCAGAGGTCAAGTGGTTGATGAAAACTCAGAAAGAGACCAACAGACACTAAAACACAGACAGGGTTCTCAATACTGTTAACTACTATTAAAAAAAGGAAGCACATATACAAGTAGTTAACATTGGATGCAGCAATATATGATACGTACTACTACATGTTTCAAAGTCTGAACTGTGTATGAGTACTGTGTTGCATACACATACACTGTGGTACTGGTCATTTAGGACTATAGCATTTTACCTTTAGTCCTTTTTTAATTTTTACTGATATTAGAGCACATTTTTGATCCTACATTAAAGTAAAAGTACAGCCAAAGCTATTTTGGCTATACTTCTCCTATAGATCAGTTAGTTCTGCACTCCTATGATCTGTTTTCAGCTGACAGCGAGAGCCTGAGCCAGCAGTTCTCTCCCCCTCTACAGCCGAGCACTCCAGTGAGCGCTGGAGGGGCAGGGGAAAGAGCCGGAGACTGACAGTCCCCATCTCTCTGCTTACAGAATGCTGAGAACTGAGTGATAAGCGGTCTTTGATCGCTCAGTTCTCAGTGCAGAGCCAGTGGGGGACAGATGCAGCATCAGATCAATGCTGCATCCACCTATTTGAGTACAAGTTTTTTTTTTTTTTTTTAAATCAAAATCTTATACTTCTCTTTTAAATACACATGACCAAATACTAAAACACATAGCCCCAAACAAATTACATTTTTATTTTAGGTATGCCCCATTTGTCTGGTGTATATTCAAGTGTTGAAGCAAGAAGTTCTTAGCAAAGCACAGTTAGTAATTTTGCCATATGTACAGCTGTACTGTGCAGCCACATAGTAAACAGAGAATGCAATTGAGTTGGTTGACCTAGATTGCAAATCAAAATGGCATACACAAATACAGTTTGGTAATTCAGCCCCATTGTTTTTTTTTATTTTGTACTGCTAACAAACCACAAACACCTTGAAGAAAACTATATTTTACAAAAAAAAAAAACTATCAATCTTTGAATGCACAATTGTGCATTTATCACAAATGTTGTACTTTGAAAAAAAGAGAAAAGAATTGACACTTGAACAACAAAGGATGCCATTATGATAGTCAATTAAAGGAAAAGGCAGTCAGTCAATACATTTCTGTGTACCTCCTATACTGTTGATAGCTGGAATGAATAATGATCTTGAACACCATTCAGCTTTGCCTGAATGGGTTAGAACCATGATAAGAAACCCTCAGGTATCAATATTTTCAAGTGTTAAAAACCTAGAACCATGCAAACACACACTGAGACTATTAAAATCAGTACATTTGTATGATCTGTAACTTCTTTAAAACAGGTATTTACATATATTTCATGTAACATGATGCCTTTTTGAATGTTCAGGTACCATATGATGTTTTAATTTTATTTAAAAAAATCAATGATTGTACGAGGTCAGCTAAATTTTTAATGAACAAATATGTCATATGAGAATAAAACATTTGGTTATTTAAGACCTGCCATTTCTAATTTAAACATTTAGCTGATATCAAAACTTTAACAGACTTCTCACTTTTTGAAACATATCTGAATTCAGCTTTCTATCAAGCTCACAATATAACATTTTAAAGGTCATAAGTCATTTTATTTTTGGTAAGAAATTATATTTTATCTCTAGAAGATACTCTAAAATTAAATTGTGCTATAAAGGGCCCCCTGCAAAGAGGAGATTGGTAAGTGGCTTAAAAAGGTAGAAATTGAGTCTTTTCCTCTGTTTTAATTGTTTTTATCGATTGCAATGAAGGAATTTTACAAACATATGTCTGGTGTTTTTTCATTTATAATATATCATTAATGAAATAGAAGAGAGACACAAATGTATATAGCAAGGCAGTATGCAAGACCATTAATCAAACCAAGGTTCAGTAAGCTGGTTCTGAGTCCAGATGTCAGGGAATTTGTGTGAGACAGCCGACTTGGAATGTGCATGACCATGCGCAATCACGCGGGAACATGTTCATTGTCAATGTTTGTGCCAGATGGCCTATTTAACCACTTGCCTACCGGGCACTTATACCCCCTTCCTGCCCAGGCCAATTTTCAGCTTTCAGCTCTGTCACACTTTGAATGACAATTGCACGGTCATGCAACACTGTACTCATATGAAATTTTTATCATTTTTTTGAGACAGCTTTCTTTTGGTACTATTTAATCATCTCTGGGTTTTTATTTTTTGATAAACAAACCAAAAACAACTGACAGTTTTGAAAAAAAAAATCTTTTTCTTAGTTTTTGTTATAAAATTCTGTAAATAAGTGATTTTTCTCCTTCACTGATGTGCGCTAATGAGGCTGCAGTAATGGGCACTGATAGGCTGCACTGATGGGCACTGATAGGCGGCACTGATGAGGAGGCACTGGTAGGTGGCACTGATGGTCATTGACAGGCATCACTGATGGGTACTGAAAGGCAGCACTCATATATGGCACGGATAGGCGGCACTGATAGGTGGCACTAATAGGCGGCACTGACTGGCACTGTTAGGCAGCACTGACAGGAACTGATAGGTGGCACTGATGCGCACTGACTGGCACTGATAGGCAGCACTTATTGGCAGCACTGATAGGTGGCACTGACTGGCATTGATAGGTGGCACTGACTGGCACTGATAGGTGGCAGTGAAAGGCAGCTCAGATGGGCAGTGATATGTGACATTGATGTGCACTGGTATGCACTGATATGTGGCATTGATGAGGCACTGATGGGCACTGGCAGGTGGCATTGATGGGCACTAACAGCTGGAATTGATGGACACTGACAGGTGGCAGTGGTGAAGCTACACTGATCATCAGGGCAACCACCTGCGCCCATCATTTCCTTATATGGCAGGCGGGAGGCAGTTAAAGGCTTTATTCCAGTATCAGTGCTAACTGGTCTTCAGCTGTATACACTGTGCCTGATTACTGTGCCTGATTGTGTACATTTGGAATTGTATTCAGAATCAAATATGTGGATTATGCTCATATTTCTGCTCAACTTTTCCTGACCTGACTCTGATCCTGCTTATAGCTCTTTACCTCACTGCCTGCCTGCTGCTGACCTTGTCTACTGGTGTGGTTACCATGGTGAAGGCAAGAGACCACGCTTCTGTCTCTGATTCAACTATATTCTATTACTGAGTGCCTGCCCTGGCTTTCCTCAGCATCTGTTCCAACCACTGCTGTGCATTCCTGCCACAAGCTCACTGGGAGCCCTGACAAGCCACCCTTCCAGAACCTGTGGTACAATTAGAGTTCCTCTTTAACTTTGGCTGGTGCATCCTGCAGTGCTTCTGTTCCTGATCTGATGTTCTGCCGATCTTCCGTCCTGCATCACCAGCTCAAGGTTCTGCTATCAACACCTGCTGGCACTCATGTTCCTCCTGTCTGTTAATGCCAATGAACATGTTACATGCAATTCAGTGCTATATATATGTAATTTGCAAACCACAATTTATGAACTTTTATATGGGCTATATAAAAAGCTAAATCTACCAAACAGCGCATAAACCTCACAATATGTACTTTGCCTAACATTTTATATAAAAAAATAACTTGTAAAATTGTATGAGTGCCTGCCCTGGCTTTCCTCAGCATCTGTTCCACTATAAAGTGCAAATAGTGCCATAATTGTGTCATTGCAATTAGTGCTTATATGCATTATATCAACACTTATAATGCCAATGAACATGTTTACCAGTGCTTATGATTCTGCAATCATATACTTAGCAATAAAACAACATTCAAGTGTATTGCCTAACATTTTATATAAAAATAACTTGTTAAAAAAATATTCCACTTAGGAAGGCCTTTTTTCAGGCAAATTTTCCCCCTTTGTTTGAAGGGTTGTTGGCTTTGTTGGTCTCATGGAGCCATCTTCCGTTATCCTGGTTCGGTAGAATCAATGCAATCCGTATGACATACTTACCTAAACTATTATACTTTCAGAGTTCTTCCGATCCCAATACCCCCCCATATACTCTGAATTCAACAGCAGAATATTCTTTGTTTTATCTGCGCCTCAACAAGCGATTAATGTTCACCCGTAAAGCTCAAGGCGGCCTCTCAGCCCCTAATCTTCAAGCCTACTATCTTGCAGTCAACCTTGCTTATATTCCTTATTTACATGAGACTCTCCATTTGCCCCTATGAGCCACAATCAAAATGGCTGACTCTTATCCACCTCCCTTTTCTACCGTGGCTCCCTTCCGCCCATCGCCCTTCAGGCATAGGTCCCTCCTTGTTGCACACTCTCAGGCTCTGGAATTCGTTCAAATATTCTGCTGGTTTGCATCATTTGCCTCTTTTACGCCTCTTCCAATGTCCATTGTTTCCTCCTGGATTAGACCAACCAGGTAAATTTTCCTGGGGGATGGAACATGGGTTTTCAGACGTTCACTCCTTGCTCGCCCTGACCAGGATTGTTACCTTTGACACGCTTCGTTCATCTCATGAAATACCTTTACATGAACACTTTCGCTACCTTCAACTTCGTCACTTTGTCCACAATTTGATTAGGCCTCATCCGGCCCCCTATCTTATATCAGGTTTTGAAAACATCTGTAGGTCGCATCCACGCTCGACAGGTGTAATCTCTCTTTTATATTCTTCTATCGTTTCCTCTAAGAAGCCACCTTTATGATCTTTTCAATAACATTGGGAACGTGAACTGTCAGTGACCTTGACAACTGAAGACTGGCAGATGATGATTCAAACGGCCTCCAGAAATGTCTCCATACTGGAAAATGTTTATAAGGTTATGTATAGCTGGTACTACACACCAGCTTGCTTGGCCAAAGTCATTCCACAATTGCCACCGACCTGCTTTCGGGGTGCCCTCAGCTGGGGATGATGTCCCATATTTGGTGGTGTAACGGAAGCATAGGCAGGACAGAACACACAAAGAAGATGGGGAACACACAAAGCTTTATTGAACTATGAAAGACACTCAATCAGGACAGTTCATGGCATTCCGCAACATGCGGCCTGTAGGAACACCCATGGTAAGCGGGCTCACGGGGACTCAACGGGACCTTGACGATGGGGTTTGACCTCAGCACAACCCCCACACAGCTTTCTAGGGACAACCTCAGGCTCACGGGGACTCAGCGGGACTTTGGCTGTGGAGTCTGGCCTCAGCACCGCTCCTACACAGCTTACTAGGGACAACATCAGGCTCACGGGGACTCAGCGGGACTTTGGCTGTGGAGTCTGGCCTCAGCACCACTCTGACACAGCTTACTAGGGACAACATCAGGCTCATGGGGACTCAATAGGACTTTGGCTGTGGAATCTGGCCTCAGCACCGCTCCTACACAGCTTACTAGAGACAACATCAGGCTCACGGGAACTCAGTGGGACCTTGACTAGGGGGGCGAACCTCAGCACAACTCCCACACAGCTTTCTAGAGACATCAGGCTCACGGGGACTCAGCAGTACCTTGACTAGTGGGGCGGACCTCAACACCGCTCCCACCCAGCTTTCTAAGGACATCAGGCTCACGGGGACTCAGCAGTACCTTGACTAGGGGGGCGTATCTCAACACCGCTCCCACCCAGCTTTCTAGGGACATCAGGCTCACGGGGACTCAGCAGGGCCTTTACTAGGGGGGCTGACCTCAGCACACTAGGAACAGTTCATGACACGGGTGGTCTGTGTGCACAATAGGAACAGTTCATGACAAGGGGGTCTGTGTGCGTAATAGGAACAGTTCATGACAACGGTGGTCTGAGCGCACAATAGGAACAGTTCATGACAGGGGGGGTCTGTGCGCACAATAGGAACAGTTCATGGCTTCTAGGGACACTCATGATAGGCGTATTGCAGATGTTCAGCAGCAGGCGACTTCCAGGGGGGTAGGCGACTTGCGGACGCTCAGCAGCAGGCAGCTTCCAGGGACAAAGCGGTCAGCAGGCAGGGCAGCTTCCCAGGGACCCTCAGCGATCAGCAGGCAGGGCGGTTTCCCAGGGACCCTCAGCGATCAGCAGGCAGGGCGGCTTCCCAGGGACCCAGCAATCAGCAGACAGTGCGGCTTCCCAGGGACCCTCAGCGATCAGCATACCGGGCAGATTCCCAGGAGGCCCAACGATCAGCAGACGGGGCGGATTCCCAGGGACCCTTAGCAATGGACGGTGGCCCTCACAGTGGCCAGCTGTTCAGGGGACAGTAGGGATTAGCAGGCAGGGGCCCTCACAGTGGCCAGCTTCTCCAAAGGCCCAGCGATCAGCTGGCAGGGGTTCTTGCAGTGGCCAGCTTGACAGGAACAGCAGCGGGAGGCATGGCTGTGGGATCTGACCTTTGAGGAGGGGGACTCATGCAGAGTGCACAGCGGGGATGGCTGCGGAGGCCCGGTCCCTACCCGGACCTCCCACGACAGCAGTGGCGGCGTGCCTAGGGAGAGCGGCCGGACAGCGCAGGAGGAAGAGATGGCCAGCTTCCGCGCCGGACTTTTTAAACACCCCAAGACGCTTCCGGGTTGCCCCGGCAACCGCCGGCCCAGCGCCGCGTTGCCGGGGCAACGAGGCATGCCCCCTTGACTCGGGCCGCGCTTCTCATGAGCATGGCCTTTGTCACTGGGGCATGCAGAGACATCTTGGCTGTCTGTCGCTGGGGTCTCCTGACAGGGGGTCACAGCTCCTCGGCCTAGATTGCCGGACAAACTGTGATCCTCACCACAGGGGTCTCCTCCCCCCATCCTGCACAGCCTGGCTTCAGAAGCTGTGTGTAGGATGAGGACGCGGCAAGGTGAGAGGAGAGGGGAGGGTGAAGGCACACTGTGACAGGGGGTCTTGCCCTAAAGTGATTTTACGCACTCTTACGTACCATATTTAACTCAAACATAAAAAGGAACCCTTGTGAGGCCCTCCTTTTTAAACCCATTGAATCACTTTTGGGGGAAGAATGCAAATAGCAACACATCTTTTTAATGCTGCAAAGTTTACAATAGCAAAGACGTGGAAGACTCCTGCTCTTAATTTTGAAGTGGTAAAAAATCGTATGAATGATATCATGGTCAACAAGAAATTGACGTCTATTCTTTCTGATTCTCAAGACCGATTCCTGCGAGTTTGACAACCCTGGATACCTCTATACCCCTCATGTTTTGATCATACATTATTAACATTGTGATTTTTTTAACACGTTTCCCTCCGAGACCATTCTTCTTTTTTTTTCTTTTTCCTCTTTCTTTTTGACTTTTCTTGGGGGTTGTCGTGTCTCTCCTGATTATAAACTTTATCTACCCTAGCAACTTACTTGTGACACATTTAGGTTATAACTGCACTTTTCCACCATAGTGTGGATGACCCTACTACTTTTCTTTCATTCTCTCTTTCTCTTTCTTCTATTTTCTGGCTTTCTTCTAATTTTTCCTGCTGATTCTTTTTTACTACAAAGTATTTCTTTGTCTTAGTTTATCATCATTAAATTGGCTTTAGGGTCAAATGAACACAGTAACTTCATGTGATGCTATTATATACACTATATTGCTAAAAGTATTGGGACACTCCTCCAAATCATTGGATTCAGGTGTTTCAATCACCTCCTTTACCACAGTGTATAAAATCAAGCACCTAGGTATGCAGACAGCTTCTACAATCTTTTGTGAAAGAATGGGTCGCTCTCAGTAGCTCAGTGAATTCAAGCGTGGTACCATGATAGGTTGCCACCTGTGCAATATGTCCATTCGTGAAATTTTCTTGACTACAACTGTTAATGGTAGTGTAACAAAGTGGAAGCCACTGTGAACAACAGAAACTCAACCATGAAGTGGTAGGCCACATAAAATGACAGAGCGGGGTCAGCGCATGCTGAAGCGCACAGTGTGTAGAAGTCTGCAGAGTCAATAGCTACAGAGCTCCAAACTTTGTGTGGCCTTAAGATTAGCAACAGTGCATAGAGAGCTTCATGGAATTGGTTTCCATGGTCAAGCAGCTGCATCCAAGCCTTACATCACCAAGTGCAATGCATTGCGTC